AGGGGCAATGGATATACCAAATTTCTTTGTTTAAAATCAAGCTCTATCATTCTTTATGAAAATATTGCAAGAAAGGGTACTGTGGATTCGTTTAATTTCACTGGTATCAATACTCTTGGATTCAGACAAAATTGAAATTTCGAGGGTGCGTAAATATTTTGTGGTTTAATCATTTGATCCTAACCATTAGTAACTAAAAAAATGTATTTCGTTGAGGATTTGAACTTGTAGTTTCCTACACAAGAAATCCTGGAAAATTGGTATCACAAGAATAATGAAACCACAGTTTGTGGATTTATGATTGATAGTTTGAAAATTAACCAAATGACTTAGAAAATCCTGAATTAAAGCCATTGCTATGTTAAAAAAATGAAACATGATGTCTGATTTCAACAGATATAATTTAAGTTCAACAAAACATTAATTTTTGTGTCACTAGTTTTGTATACTGTGGATTCATTTATTTTCGTGGGTATCAATTTTCTTGGAACGAGGAACACTTACATTTTCGTGGATATTTGATTTTGTGGTTTTGCCAATCTCTGCATACAAAGCCAAATTAACATTTGTAATTCGTTGAACATTTGAATTCGTGGTTCACCTGTACCCACGAAACCCGCGAAAATTGGTATCCAACGAATAATAATGAATCCACAGTATATGAAAATAGTATATAAGAATCTTGCATTCTAATGCAATCCTGTAACTATATTTTTCTTTGGCTAAAATTTACTGTCAATTCCACATTCGTCTTGCGCCATCATATTGAATTGTTGGAAATTGCACAAATGTTCGATTAATACAATATATGATAAAAAGTAAAACAACACCTGCCTCAAAATTGCTCTTTTAATGAGATATTATCCAAATATAAATCTTATAAGTAAAAAAAATAACCTTTAGGTTTGAGTGTTTTCATTTGTATGATGTCATGTTTTGCCTTTTAGAGATAACTGTATTGTATTTGAAGCTTTGCGTACATCCATCCGTAGTTTTACTGTCGCAAATTTAGTTTACCTGGCCACGCGTAGCGGAGACAGGTAAACGGATATTTGCGACTGTAAAACTACCGATGGACGTCCGCAAAGCTTCAAATACAATACAGTTATCTCCATTCTAATGCAAAATAAACAAATCATTCAAGTTTAGTCATTATTTCAGTGTAAAATATTCATTAAAGAAAATTCCGCGAAATGATGTTATTTTCTTTGGCGCCTAAACTAGGTGTTGGCATAGGTATGCTTCCGGTATCAAACGTAGACACCAGACTTTTTCTGGCTTCTTGTCCACTTCAGAATGTAATAAAACTTGATAAAAAGAAGATTTCTAGGTGCAAAATGTGAGTGTTTTGGCTTATTATTGAAGAAATCACATGTCAATACATTCCGGTATTCAAAATGTCGGCTTCCTTAGTTACAGACAGGGAGATAGAGAATTTTACGCTTATTGTCATCCAATCAGAACCATTGATACAAAATGATTGCATTAGAATTACATTTATACGTGTATAAATCATTCATGAAAATTTGCAGAATTTAATGTCATCTTAAATTTTAGAATGTTTAAAAACACTCTAATGTACCATTTCTTTTTGTAATGCATTAGAATAGGAATAACAGTACTGCAGCTGAAAAGTTGCCACCATCAATTGGGATTTGACAATTGCAAATACCCAAATACATTTCCAATAAAATTGCATTTGCGACCGTCAAATCACCAATTGATGACAGCAACTCTTCAACTACAGCACTGTTATTCTTGATTGAAAAAAAGAAAAAAATCTCTCAGACTGGAAGAATACTAACCACTGAAAATCATAAAATAACTGTAGGTATTAAAGCACTAATTTGGCCAGGTCAGAAAGAACATTCAGGAAAGAAGAACATATTAGTCATGCATTTAGTCTTAGATGCATGATTTTTTTTTATTAGTTGTTAGTGGCCTTTGAACTAGCTCTCAGTAACTGCGAGTACTCTCAGATCTGTACTTAGTGTCTTTTTGTTGTTTGGATGTACAAGTACCCGGCCACGTATTTGTATTTTTATCCATCTGATGAGTTAAGCCTCTTTCAACTGATTTTTATAGTTCGTTCTTATGTTGTACTGTTACACCACTGTCCCAGGTTAGGGGGAGGGTTGAGATCCCCCTAACATGTTTAACCCCGCCACATTCCGTATGTATATGCCTGTCCCAAGTCTGGAGCCTGTAATTCAGTGGTTGTCGTTTGTTTATGTGTTACATATTTGTTTTTCGTTCATTTTTTGTACATAAATTAGGCCGTTAGTTTTCTCGTTTGAATTGTTTTACATTGTCATTTCGGGGCCTTTTGTAGCTGACTGTGCGGTATGGGCTTTGCTCATTGTTGAAGGCCGTATGGTGACCTATAGTTGTTAATTTCTGTGTCATTTGGTCTTGTGGAGAGTTGTCTCATCGGCAATCATACCACATCTTCTTTTTCATACCTAGGCATAACTGTAACTTTGTCGATAAGTAAAATATTTGGGTAAGTTTTCAATCAAATGCAAGCTAAATGGACTTGGGATCACTACAGAATCCTTTTTGAAAGTTTCTTTTTGATGATAAAAAAAATATATGAGATTAAAATAGGAGGGCATGTTTGCCCTGTTGCTCAGATCAGAAGTACCTGTTTCTGTACAACCAAACTACTGGCCTTGCGGTCATAAAAATTTCTAAATCAACCAATCAAAATACTGTAAATTCAGAAATTACTAAAATGAGATTTTAATTTTTGCGATATTGACAAAAATTCTGTTTAATTTATATAAAAGATTTCAAAATGGGAGTTTAAATTATTGCGATTATAAACCTGTCGCATTTTTCGCAATAATAAAAACATCGCAATAATTTCTGAATTTACAGTACTGGATTTGGTGTTTCGATCACAAATTTTGTACTCAGAGTACTGAGTAAAGTTTTATGACCGAGACCCCTGGTAACCAAGTGCACTCTTAAATGCAATTAATGGTACGTTTAATTTTTTATGAAAAGGTTTAGTTTTGACATAATATGACTGTCACTCTATTATAAGTTAAGACAAAATAGCTATGAATGCTTGATATTGCAGAATTTAACATAGAAAGCAATGGGCTATGGATTAGTTGCTTTATTCCTGTAACCTGGTGTAAAGGGAAAACCGTGTGCTATAAATGAATTTAAAAAATTGAACTGCATTGGTTCCTCTCTTTTGTCTGTGTGATATTTCATAGGCTTTTTTATACGACTACAAAAAATTTTGCGGTCCTATATTGGTATCACATCGTCGTCGTCCGAAGACATTTGGTTTCTGGACAATAACTTTAGTATTAGTAAATAGAAATCTATGAAATTTAAACACAAGGTTTATAACAACAAAAGGAAGGTTGGGATTGATTTTGAGGGTTATGGTCCCAACAGTTTAGGAATTAGGGGCCAAAAAGGGGCCCAAATAAGCATTTTTCTAGTTTCATGACAATAACTTGTGGAACAGTGTATGGATCTCTCTGAAATTATACCACAAATTTCCATACCACAAAGGGATGGTTAGAATTGGCTTTGGGGGGTTATGGCTCAAACCGTTTAGGAATTGGGGGCAAAAAAATGAGAAAAAACAAGGGTGTCCTGGTTAATGGACAATTACTTAAGTACAAATTACAGTGTAAGGGATGTAATTCAAACACAACTTTGAATTACCTCGCTTACACTGCTTTTAAATTATGTATAAAGAATTTTTGTATTGTCTTGAGGTGATCAGCTGTCAATTCATTTTTAGAAGTTACTATTTTAATAATTTTAAAAATGCTGATTAAGGTAAATTAATTTTAGCTATGATTATGTATGTCATTTTCTATTTTAAGACTTTAATGATGTATTTAAATGGGTTATTATGGTTGCAAACTCCATTGGAAATTTGAATTGAAATAATGACCATGACTGAGGGAAAGAATTTTTTTATTGGGAAAAGTGGAAAGGGGGGGGGGGGGGAGGGGGGAGGTTAAAAAAAAATTGGGGGGGGGGGGGTAAAAAAAAATTGGTGATGGGGAGTCGGTGGGACAAATTTTTCCTCAAGATTTCAGAAATCAAAAAGAAAAAAGGGGCGGGGGGGGGAGGTCAATTCACAACAGCATAGTGTATTGCACAAAAGCAAAAAATTCAATATAAATTCAAATCATATTACCAATTTTAAGTTTTTTTACTACAGTTATTCTGTGTCAGAAACCTATTATGTGTCAAATGTTGAATTACAATCCAAATTCAGACCTGTATCAAGCTCAAATTTTGTGTCCATTTTTGTCCCAGTTGTTCAGGGTTGGACCTCTGCGGTCGTATCCAGCTGCGAAGCAATTTATTATACTTTCCTGTGGTAGATTTAGTTTCATTGACCTTTGATATTTAGTTTGATATGGATTTGAACCTGAATTGTTAATTTATAAATAAGATTGTTAGTTATTCAATGTGAAGTTGAATATTGTAGATCTGTATAACTCCTACTATAATCCCCAGTATCCCTTTCTCTAAAATTAAATGTAAGTTACACAGAAATTTTAATTACTTACAGATAATTTTCTAAGATATCTTTTAATGACTACTTGGATGTGAGTTGCATTATTTTGGGAGGAGTACATAGCAATCTGTACCCAAGTTAAGTGTTTGCTATTCAAGTAATTAATGAGTTTTGAAATGAAATCTGAAAAAACAAGTGAAAATTTATTATGTGTCTCAAAAACATAGTCTTCATTTAATTTTATGAGGGTCTGGTTGGAGTTTACTGAATAGAGAGTAATAGGCAAAACATACAAAAACAAAGGGCAAAAAAAAAAGGTCAAAAGATTAAAGAAAAAAGAAAATGCCTAAAAAATTAAAGAAGACAGAAATGAAGGATGCCCTATACAGACCCTCTTTCATATGTACCCCCCTTTAGTTTAACCTAAAAAGTAGAAATTGCTGTAGATCATATAATAAAAATTGTGAAGGAATTTAAAATCTTTTGTCTTTTTGTTTAGTATTACATGATGACGTCGCTGACCAGAGAAACTCTCAAGCCTCCATAGATGGAAGGGTTCTGAGTCCAATGGGACCTCTTATTATGGATAACAATGATTATGGGCAGTATGGTCCAACGTCTGATAGGGTTGTATCTTCTAGTACATACATTGATCCCAAAAAGAAACTTAAAGGAAATGGTGTGCCAGGGAAAAGTATAGAGGAAGAGCTTTGTCGCATTTGTGGAGACAGGGCATCAGGGTATCATTACAATGCACTTAGCTGTGAGGGGTGTAAAGGTATGTAGATTGTTATATAGTTATAGAAACAGAGAAACATCTATTAAATTGGAACCATTGAATTAAAAAAACAGTGCAAATTGGTAATGCTTATTTTGAAAAACTTTATATTAAGTTTTGTTTCCCCCTAAGGTTCCATATTAGGGCCTCTTTTGTTTATTTTATATATAAATGACCTTCCTATTTATATGAAGAATTTTGCACTGACTTGTATGCTGATGATTCAATGAGCATTTATATTGATTTATTGATTTTAAAAAGAAGGAGTGATAAGGTGGTTTGACTAAGGCCTCTTGTTTGGTATTTTGGATTTGATTATCATTAATTATAAATTATCAAAAAAATGTCTTGTATGTAGATGTTCACAAGTTATAAGTTTGTCAGAAATCAGTGATCATATATTTCAAGTTTTTGTTACTTAGCTGTAGGCCTTTGAAAGTTTTTGCATTTAATGGAAGAAAACCCCCCAAAAAAGGCCGAAATAACCTTATTTTCATATAAAATATTTGGATATCAGTAACTATAGAGAACCCAAATAATATTTTGCCACAAAGTGTCTAATACTAATTTGTTTATGTAAGGGAACAACCATTTAACTTCAAAGGGGGATGATGGTTTTTGTCTCGAGTCAGAAATGTTTTTTTCGTTCAAAGCGCAAACATTTTTTTTTAGCTTTTCGACGCTATCAATCAAATTATTTTTTTCAAAATTTAACACTATAAGGTATGTGGAAAATCTGGATTCAGTATATTTTTTTTGCCATCTGCTTGACCACAATATTTTTTTCATCAAATTGGGGATCAGAATATTTTTTAAGGAAAAAATCATAACCCCCCCAAAAAATGTCCAGCCGATTATGATCATATTCATTTATGCATTGGACATATTTTTGAAAGGAATGAGCTATTGGCTCTTATAGCTTTCCATAGTTATTGCTATAATTTGTGTGCCCCTGTTTTAAATGGTTGGGTTTGTAGTTTGGCTTATATAAATCAAGACAAAATCTACAGAGTGAAGTTCAGAATACATGGTTAATTGTATTTTATCGATGGTTTTTCAAATGAGAGGGTGTTTCTCAGTAACAATTTCATTAAAGGGCGACAGCCCTGACATGAGATGTAGCTGAGAAACATGCTCAAGTTTGAAAGACCATTGATAATCTGTTTATCACTTTTTTCCTTGGCAATGTCAAAGACGTAGGCTCATGACGTCATACATTCTCTTATTATACATTTTAGAAAAACCCATATCATGTGATATGAAAAATTATCACAATAAAAGATTTTTTTTTCTAAAAATGTGTTAATGTAATATCTTTACTGTTATAGTACTTCAGATTATATTTTAGGTCTAGTATAAAAATAAGGAGATGTGGTATGATTGCCAATGAGACAACTATCCAACAAAGTGGATGTAAGCAATTATAGACAACCGTATGGCCTTCAACAATGAGAAAAACCCATTTCGTATAGTTGGTATAAAAGGCATGACATGAAAAAAAGAAACAATTCAATTGAGAAAACTAACAGCCTAATTTATAACAAAATAATTTATGAAAAACAAATATGACAACCACTGAACTACAAGCTCCTGACTTGGGACAGACACATAAAGAATATGGTGGGGTTAAACTAGTTTGCTGGCGCCAAACCCTCCCGCTATACTGGTACAGTGGTGTAACCGTACAAAAGAACAAACTATAAAAATTGGTTAAAAAGGGCTTAACTCATCAGATCGATACAAACATGACAAAGTAGAAAACATCTAACTAAAACACAGACCAGACATGGGTATTTATACATCCCGACAACAAAAAAGACACCACCAAGTACATATCTAAGAGAACTCACAGTTACTGACAGCTAGTTCAAAGCAAATAACAACTAATAAAAAAAATCATCTATCTTAGACATAAATATCAATCATTACACATCTAACATCCAATGGATTTAGTGTAAAGACATCATTAACAGTGAAAAACATGACCTTGTGCAAAGCGAAAAATATAGGTATCGACAGATTGTAGATCCATGAATGGAGTAGTATTTTTCCTTTTCCCAAATGAGACTTTTGGTGCATGCATATATTGTAAAGTGACACATAATGATTATTTACTGGAAGATTTCAATTTGTTTATCCATCTGTCTACTTTACAGGTTTTTTTCGAAGAAGTATTACAAGGGGAGCTAACTATACATGTAAATATGGAGGGAACTGTGAAATGGACATGTGGATGAGAAGAAAATGTCAAGCTTGTCGATTGAAACGATGTCGAGAAGTGGGAATGAAACAGGAATGTATGTAAAGATTCCTTTTTGTAATAAGTTGCTATGTTAAGCTTGAGTTTAACTTCCACAGTTGGTGAATCCATGTTTTTTTTAAATCACGTATGTTTTTTCAGTAGATTTATAAGTCCTATCAACTTTTGTGCATAGATAAAATCTGAGCAAGCTGCTGCCTGAAGTAATAATGTGTAGACAAATTTTTTGGAGGGAAGTACATTCATAATAACTTTTTCTAAATAGAGCCCAAATCTTATAATGTGAAAATGGTTCCTAAAAGAAACTTCTGAAAATCTCAAATGGCTTCCACTGTTTAGTAAATTGTACCTTCCTACATTGAAATGAGAGATTGGTTCTCATTGGTTGAGGAATTTTGTCCCACACTTATGACTGTGTGCAGCTACACCAGCTGTCATCACTTCTGTGTGTATATAGAGATTTTTTTCTAGAAATAGTGAGTTATTCTTGATCAACTAGTATTGATGAATTTCGTGATAGTTTCATTTTTTCATTTTACATTTTTACCAACAAAATTCAGATGAGAATAAAACACTGGTTTTAATTGATCGTGATAACTGCAGTTACTGCGATCCCAATATGGCGGAGGTAGAAATTGGTCAAATCGTGTTCTGCTAATATCTCTGTGTATACGTGTTGTTTTCAAGAATTACTCAGCCGCCAGGTTGATCTGTACGGTTTTGTTTTGTGTGTGTGTTCTTAATATCATATTTGGTATCATTACCGAAATAATAGCCAAAAAAAGTTTAGGAAGATAATCGTAACTCCCAAAAAAAAGATAATCGTAACTTGTGGACAAATAACTTGAAAGATAATCGTAACTGCAGATCATATATAATCAATGATAATAGTATTAAATTAACTGATTTTGATAAAAAAAAATAAAAAAAATTGTGTCATAATAACTACGAATGCGGTAGTGCTACATCATTTTTTTGTTCACCACTAACATCAGTGGACGACTAAAATATGGTATAAATTATTATGCACACAACTTTTTCAATCTTTCCAACACATATATTGTTTACAAATATATGCATTACTGTTCGGTGTGAGCCAAGGCTCCCTGATGAAGGCAGTACTTTGACCTATAATGGTTTACTTTTACAAATTGTGACTTGGATGGAGAGTTCTCTCATTGGCACTCATACCACATCTTCTTATATCTATATATAGAACTGAATCAGAAAGTTATAGTTGTTTAACTTTCAAAATAAAGATAAAAAGATGTGGTATGATTTCCAATGAGACAACTATCCACCTGAGACCAAAACAGGTAGATGTAAGCAACTACAGATGATTGTATGGCCTTCATCAATGTACAAAACTCATAGAGAAAGCTAACAACCACTACATTACAGGCCCCTGACTTGGGACAAGCGCATATAGAATGTAGCATGGTTAAACATGCTTGTGAGCACTCAACTTTGTTTTATGAAAAAGCAACTCTTGTATTCCCAGATTGCTTATTAGTCCCCTACCGACGAAGTCGAAGGGGACTTTAGGTTTGCACTCTGTCCGTCCGTCCTTCTGTCCATCCATCAGTCCGGCAAATCAACTTTCCACACTTTTTTTCTTCGTTCTTGAAGATATTGATTTGATATTTGGTATATAGTTTTGCCATAATAAATTATAGATCAAGTTCGAATTTTGTTTCGGTCTGATGAGTGATTCCATAGTTATGGACCATAACTCTGGACCATATCTAATGTTAGAGTACTATGTTAAACCATAGTTCTGTACAAAGGGAGATAACTCATTTTTTAAAAGACATTCTTTGGTAAATTATTTGAAGAATTTTTTGGCAGGTTTGTTTGTCATTTTGTATAAACTAATGTTCTGAATGCTATATATATATATATATATATAAAAAGTATGAAGGAAATGACATTTTATAGATAAGTTACAAATCTGTATTAGTTTGTGACAAATACAAGAAAAAATATTTGAAACTATTAATTATATGTGATTATAATTTGAAAATAGATATACACTGTATTACATCATATCTAATTTTAGAGAATTATTAATCATATCTAACGTTAAAGCGTTTTCCACACTTTTTTTCATCATGCTTGAAGATATTGATTGATAATTGGTATATAGTTTTATCATGATGTCACAAGTTATACAGATCAAGTTCGAAATTTTGTTTCGGTCTGATAATTTTGTGCAGAGTTATGGTTTTTGGACTTAAAAAATTCACTCATTTAATCAGTTTTCCACACTGTTTTTAGTCATGCTTGAAGATATTGCCTTGATATTTTCTTTTTGTTTACACCATGACAAGTTATAGAACAAGTTAGCTTTTTGTTCCAGTATAATGAATTTTTACCCGGTAGGGGACTATGTATTGCCATGCAATACTCTCAGAATGCTTGTTCTTTTTATATTTATATGCTCTATTCTAACTTTTGGTAAACCTTCTAATATCTGCCCCCTCCCCCAAATCATTATGGTGACTAGGGAATAGAAATATGGGCACTCTTGGTCTTCTTCCTTCCGACAGTAAAACTCTCCTTGCCAAAATAGGTTGTCCTTTTTTTGCTATGCAGGATATTTTGATACGCAGCCACGTCTGGTCAGAATGGGGACGTTTAATCTGATGACTCATATAAAGAGAATGCCACGCTCTCTGCACGTTAAGAACCCTTACAACAACTATTTGAAGGGTCCGAAGGTGACTTTTTGCAAGAAAAAATTGTCCCTTCCCAACTTATCCTCATTTTCTAGTGGCAGTCCAAATTTCCCAACCTTCATCTCGGACGACCCATTTTACAAGACATATCTATTGTTAATTTATTCTCGTCCTGAACATGCCTGAAATATTTTCCACTGGACTTTAAGCAACCAACAACCTATCAATCAAACTTATATCTGCTGTCATAAAAGGCATCCATTTTTCACGATCAGCATTAATAGTCGAAAGTGCATCTGGAGCAGAACAATTAGTACCTTCAATATTATAACTACTACTGAGCCGATACCTTTTTTAGTGGACTATCAGTTCCCGGGTATATCACTTGCACAGTAGCCTCTACTTAGGTTCAAATAGTTTTTGCATTGCTTACATAAAAGTAAAAAAACATTTAAGTGAAAGAATTAACATTTTCATGCAAAGCTCTGATTCCTAGTCCTGGTATACTTTATGTCCTTTATGGTTTTATCAGCCCTGTAACGTTTGTGTTAGGTTTTGGCCTCGAGCATCACTGAAGAGACATAATATGAGTTGTCGAAATAAAAATCTGTTGCAGTACAGACACACTGGTACTGTTAATCTTATAACTACTACCCCATGTACCGGGTCGACATCTCTGTTAGTGTACTGTAAATCCAAGAGAGCATTGCAGCCCAGTTAAGTACTGGCACGCAAAAACAGTTATTGGTTGATTAAAATTTTCTGTTATAAAACTTAAAAAATAATTTAAATTAAGAAATATATCTTCTTCTCGTTTAAGTATACAATATAACATCAATATTTATCGTAAATTTTAACTTTTAAAATATATAGAATATATCAACAAAGCAAAAAGTAAATTAGTTTAAGATAATAAGCAATTATTCATGAATTCTGGTAACACTATCAAACTTTTAAGCAAGATTCAGATATAGTCGCAGTCCCCATCAACAGGTAAAGTTACGAATATCACTGATAAATAACTATTATCATGTCCAAATTACAACTATCTGATAGTCCAGTTACGATTATCATATCAAACAAATTTCTTGGAGTTACTATTATCTTCCTAAAATTTTGGATGGCTATTATTTCGGTAACGAGACCAAATATGATATTAAGAACACACACACTCAACAAAACTGTAGAGATTAACCTGGCGGCTGAGTAATTCTTGAAAACAACACATATACAGTGTATATTATACACTGAGATATTAGCAGAAAACAATTTGACCAATTTCTGCCTCTGCCATATTGGGATCATGATAACTGCAGTTACCACAATCAGTTTAACACCAGTGATAAAGGAGGTGTGGGGTATACATTAATAAGACAGCAACCCAATGACAAAAATAACCAAAAGTAATCTTTATCTTTTTATGAACACTTTTCACAATTGGAGAAAGAAATATCAGTTCTTTTACATAAGGAAGGAAATCACTTAATGAAATTGATCATTGTTCATTTCCTTTTTGAAATGTGGACCTATTGAACTATTTTTCTAATCTTTCTGTTGAAGTACATGTTTTATGCACTTGTTGTAGAACATTTTATGAATTTTATCACCTCTGTATTCAAGGTTTATTATCGGACGAGCAATGTAAAGCAAGAGATGCTCGGCGGAAGGCAAAACAGAAAAAAATGGAGAAACCAGCTCCAGTTGTTGTTCAGAACATCAACAATGATTCCCTTGACAGTCGACCAAGCTGTGAATTTGAAAGACAGGATGTTAAGTTTTCTGCATCTTTTTCTCCATATGATGTCATATGTGATCGTCCAATAGAACTTATTTCAGAAAATACACATGCTCTTATAAACAGAATAGTTAGATTACAGGACAAATATGAATTCCCTGATGAAGAAAAAGTCAATGATGCAATAGTAAGTGCACAAATAGAGATATATAAAACGACATTACGACAACAACACCCGTAAATTAATGCAAAGTCATTGTTTATTATGATCTACATGTTTTGCCAACAAGCGTCTTCAGAACTAAAAATAGAAATATAAAATAACATGTAAAGTTGGTAGGACCCAATTCTTTGTTTGTTTAATGTCATAAAATGGACCACTTTTAAAAATTACTTGGAAAATGTCCAACTACCAAGATGGCTACTGTGAAGACCTTGGTTTCCCCCACAGCACCATTTCAGATGGAAAAACTAATAGTTTTTGTCCATCAATGAGAGACTGTTTGCAGAAAGCTATCATACTGATTTAGATTGTTTGTGATGTGAGTTGATCACTCTAAATTGCCATTTTGTTTTGACACTTTTAGTAGGAGTCGTGGAGCTTGTTCCATTTTTATGCCCCCGCTGTAGCGGAGGGGGCATTAAGTTTTACCCTTGTCCGTCTGTACCTACGTTTCCGTTCTCTAACTTTAGTTTGCCTCAACCAAATTTTATGAAACTTATACACAATGCTTATTACCACAAAACACAGGTCAAGTTTGAATTTTGGTGGCGTCACATTAACCGTTCTAGAGTAATGCGCCTTTACAAATGGAAAAATTGCTTAATTTTTCGTTTCCGTTCTTTAACTTTAGTTTGCCTCAACCAAATGTTATGAAACTTATACACAATGCTTTTTACCACAAAACACAGATCAAGTTTGAATTTTGTTGGTGTCACTTTAACCGTTCTAGAGTTATGCTCCTTTACAAATGGAAAAATTGCTGAATTTGTTTCCGTTCTCTAACTTTAGTTTGCCTCAACCAAATGTTATGAAACTTAGACACAATACTTATTACCACAAAATACAGATCAAGTTTGAATTTTGGTGGTGTTACTTTAAACGTTCTAGAGTTATGCCCCTTTACAAATGGAAAAATTGCTGAATTTTTCATTTCTGTTCTCTAACATAAGTTTGCCTCAACCAAATTTTTATGAAACTTATGAATCACAATACTTATTACCACAAAACTCAGATCAAGAATAAATTTGGGTAGCGTCACTTTTACCTTTCTTCAGTCATGTCCCTTTATAACTTTATATGATATGCAAACGGGGGCATCATCTGTGTCCCATGGACACATTCCCCATTTATTTACCTATTATACCACTATGCCACTTCTAATATAAATAAGAAGATGTGGTATGAGTGCCAACTATCCATCCAAGTCACAATGTGTAAAAAGTAAACAATTAAAGGTCAAAGTAAGGCTTTCAACATGGAGCCTTGGCTCACACCGAACAGCAAGCTATAAAGGGCCTCAAAAAGACTAGTGTAAAACAATTCAAACAGGAAAACCAACGGTCTAATCTATATAAAAAACGAGAAACACTTATGAAACACACCAACAAACTACAACCACTGAACAACAGGCTCCTGACTTAGGACAGGTGCATAAAAATGCAGCAGGTTTAAACATTTTAACAGGCGCCAACCTTCACCCTAACCTGAAACAGTGATATAACATTACAACATAAAAAGACACACAATAAAATTTAATTGAAATGGCTTAACTTTATCAAAAAGACAATACACAAAAAGAAGTAAATATACACTGAGCGAATAAGTTTGATCTATGACACAATGTAAATAAAAAAGATGTTTCAATGTCAAAAAGACAACTTTAACCTAGGACAAAATGGCGTTAAATAAAGTAATGTACACAGGTAAATTTAAATATAATCATAGTATAGAAAAAATTTTTACAAAATAAATTTGTTATTCATAGTACGAGTACAGAAGTGAAATTTTTTTTTCGTCATACTAAATTCATGGGTGGTACATATTAAAATAGTAAGACGAAATATAACACAAAATAAGTAAACATTGAATAACAGAAATGCATTACAAATTGTGTCAACAGGTCAAATTAACACAAAAGTATGATTTGAGAGTACTCCCAGTTACTGAAAGCTAGTTAAAAGCCAAAAACAATTAATAATAAAAAATCATGCATCAGAGACTAAAATCAATTAAAACACATCCCAGGCAGGGATTTGGTGTTTTAACACCATGGACAGTCAAAGAAGACGAGACTTGTGCAATGCCAAAATAAAAGTAATGACAGGCAGTAGGATAGTTAGGATTTAACCTTATAATAAATATGTATGATGTTATGTATAGATATAACAATTTCTAAATAGAAAATAAATGTGGACGTGTATATATTTATCCCAAAAAACCATACGAAAAGAAAACAAATTTAGTTATGTTTTAATTTGTTGATAACAAAATCGATGTTAATGCCAATGAAAACAATATTCAAAGATCTTATCAAAGACTGTTTGCCCAAAAGCTTGTATACTTCGATTACTGTCTTCCTGTTATAAGATCATACTATACTGCAAATTTTTGTGTGAGTTATGGGACTTTGACTATTTTTGGCCTCTGTTCTATAAATGAAACTCGGAAACCTTTTGTCCAGTTGATTTCATAGTATACTGAGGATAAATATTCATCAAGCAAAGCTCGCTATACCATATTGCCATGCTGATATCAATTTTGCAGTTGTTTTGGGATTTTTTTAATCAAATTTGACTCTTGTTGAAAGGAAGATCATCTTGAATGATATTGATTTGACAGCTTGTTTTATGGCTATGGTGATTTATTTTATACTGTCAACTAATATGAGCATTTCTTCTGTGAAGAAAAAAAAAATGAAAAACTGATTTTTAAAATGCCCAATGTTTAATTGATTTTTCCAGTCCATATAGAAATAAGGAGATGTGGTATAATTGCCAATGAGACAACTATTTACCGAAGTTCTAATGAAGTGGATGTAAGCAATTATAGGCATCTATGGCCTTCAATAATGAGGAAAACCCATACTGTATAGTCTGCTATAAAAGCCCCTGACATGAAAAATATGAATCAATTCAATTGAGAAAACCAACAGCCTAATTTATAACAAATCAATTAACTCACTTGCCTATTTTGCAAGCATTAATACCATGATGACTGCTTTCAGAATTCTAAACACTATCCCATTCATCAACTGATATATTATTTAGAGCAGAACTCAAATTGACATTATTTCATTCTTGGAAACACATTGGGAGAGAAGCAGTGGGCCATTCATTGAGATGATAATTACATCATTTGCAATTAAATGTTTTTGATGCCAATAAAAATTCCATGTTATCTTCAAGAATGTCTGAATCATTGCACTTTTATTAATGATGTAGATCCTCATTAAGTTGGATTTAGCCTGAGTGATATATATGTAGGGAGTGTTATTAAGAGGTGTAAATTGGTTTAATTCAGAATGAACCTTTGTGACATGTATATCTTAGGAGATTCACCTTTAATCAAGGTTACTTAAAGTGGTATATACGGAAATACTTTTAAATTATAATTCTTTAAGAATTTAAGCAGTAATTTAATGACTGTACACAAAAATGTTTATTTACCTTGTTTATTATATTTGAAGGTCTTTTTTTATTATACTTGCATGATTGATAGTTGTTATTAGAAGTTATTTGATCTCATTACATTAAATATTCATTAGAATTTTGAAATTGAACATGTCACATGACGCTGCAATAATTTTTTTATGAGAGTTTTTGAAAGTTATGTCAAGGTAGAACAGTATGACATATTCTGTTCAATGTTATTCTGCAGTTTCTCATTCAAGGTCTTTCTAACCTGTCTTCGTACTTTATTTGGCCTTTTTAACTTTTTTGGTTCAAGCGTCACTGATGAGTCTTTTGTAGATGAAACGTGCATCTGGTGTACAAAATTTTGTAGAGAATCAAGCTGTGACATGATGGAAAAATTAAACAATTATATTTTGAATCAGTGTTCTTAAATGGGTGTTTTCATATTATTCTTGTATTATGTCCACGTACAGTCGTATTGGGTCAAGGTTAGCAGCTGATTGAGACCCAATATGACTATACGTGGGCATAATACAGAATCGATATGAAAAAACACCCATTTTATTGTCGAGCCTGCGACTTTTGTCGCAGAAAGCTTGACATAGGGATAGCGATCCGGCGGCGGCGGCGGCGGCGGCTACGGCGGCGGCGGCGGCGTTAGCTAACTTCTTAAAAGCTTTATATTTTAGAAGGTGGAAGGTCTGGATGCTTCATACTTTGTATATGGATGCCTCATGTTACGAAGTTTCCGTCAGTCACATGTCCAATGTCCTTGACCTCATTTTCATGGTTCAGTGACTACTTGAAAAAAAAGTTCAGATTTTTTGTAATGTTAGATTCTCTCTTATTATAAGTAATAAGATAACTATATTTGGTATGTGCGTACCTTGCAAGGTCCTCATGCCCGTCAGACAGTTTTCACTTGACCTCGACCTCATTTCATGGATCAGTGAACAAGGTTAAGTTTTGGTGGTCAAGTCCATATCTCAGATACTATAAGCAATAGGTCTAGTATATTCGGTGTATGGAAGGACTGTAAGGTGTACATGTCCAACTGGCAGGTGTCATCTGACCTTGACCTCATTTTCATGGTTCAGTGGTTATAGTTAAGTTTTTGTGTTTTGGGTCTGTTTTTCTTATACTGTATGCCATAGGTCTACTATATTTGGTGTATGGAATGATTGTAAGGTGTACATGTCTAGCGGGCAGGTGTCATCTGACCTTGACCTTATTTTCATGGTTCAGTGGTCAAAGTTAAGTTTTTGAGTTTTGGTCTTTTTTTCTAATACTATGTGCAATAGTTCAACTATATTTGGTATGTGCGTACCTTGCAAGGTCCTCATGCCCGTCAGACAGTTTTCACTTGACCTCGACCTCATTTCATGGATCAATGAACAAGGTTAAGTTTTGGTGGTCAAGTCCATATCTCAGATACTATAAGCAATAGGTCTAGTATATTTGGTGTATGGAAGGACTGTAAGGTGTACATGTCCAACTGGCAGGTGTCATCTGACCTTGACCTCATTTTCATGGTTCAGTGGTTATAGTTAA